GTCCAGTCAAGGGCATGTACCTTGGTTGCAGGAGCATCCCCAGTAGGAGGTGTGCAGGAGGCAGCTGATCAATGTTTCTCTCTCATCGATGTTTCTAACTCTCTATCCCTCTCCATTCTTCTCTGTAAAAAAATCAATAAAATATATTTTTTTAAAAATTCTGATAATACACATGTGTATAAAAGAAGAAATAAGTCCCCAGAGCCCCATCCCAACCACTCTAATTCAAGTGCTTCTCGAAGGTGCTTCCTTACAACCTCAGGCAGGCTTAGTCCCCATGCCAAACCAGGTCAGCCTGGCCAGGGCTGGGCAAATGTGAGCCACTTCCCTCTAGGACAGTGGTTCTCAACCTTGGCTGCACATTAGAATCACCTGGGGATCTTTTTAAAATCCTGATTTCTGGGCCCCATCCTCCGGAAATTCTGTTTCTTTGTTATGGGATGGGGCCACAACATTAGTAACAAAGAAACAGAATTTCCGGAGGATGAGGCCCAGAAATCAGGATTTTAAAAAGATTCCCAGGTGATTCTAATGTGCAGCCAAGGTTGAGAACCACTGCTCTACAAGGATGTGAGGCTGTATTGAGTGGAGAGCAGGCCTCTCAGGTATTCAGGACCTTGTATCACCTACTCCTTGTTCCCTAAAAGAGAACTGATGATAAATTCCAACAGTGTTGGTTGGTAAGGTAAATAACTAATGGGCTTGGGGCCCCAGAATTGGCTTTAGGAAGAGGCTGGTAAAACCCAAATTCCGGTCACTGTCCCAGCCATTGTCCAGACAACTATTTCTCCCCCAGGTTTATAGTTTAAGTGACTGCGTCAAACTTTGTTTACCTTAGAGCAGTGGTTCTCAACCTTCCTAATGCCGCGACCCTTTAATACAGTTCCTCATGTTGTGGTGACCCCCAATTTCATTGTTACAAATTGAACATAATTAAAGCATAGTGATTAATCACAAAAACAATGTATTTATATATGTGTTTTCCGATGGTCTTAGGCGACCCCTGTGAAAGGGTCGTTCAACCCCCAAAGAGGTCACGACCCACAGGTTGAGAACCGCTACCTTAGAGCCTATTCCACCAAGATTCATGGATCTAAAACAAGGAAGTCCAGGGAGGATCTTGTTTCTGATCCTGGATTCCCTGGGCTCTGGACCCTCCAATTCTTGAAGTCCCGGTTTCCCACCCATCGCTACCAGGATCATACTGCAGACACTGCAAGTTGTCTGTGGGCCAGGCAGGTGGCAGAAAGCAGCGGACCAGGTGGGGACTGTGGCAGACTGGAGGGCGTAGGCTCAAGATGGCGCTTGTTTCCTTGTGGACAGAACCCAGTGTTGCTGGATTTTGGGACTTTTTCTGACTTTTAAATGTTGGCAATTGATTCACATTTTAATATATACAGGGCAGATCAAAGAACCACGCTGGGGAAGCCAGTTGGCTACCTCTTGTTCGCTGGGCAGATTGTCTTGTAAAGGGCTTTGCACAGACCTGGCCTGGCTCCTCACTGAGCACTGAGCAGTGGGCACTGGCTGTTATTATCCCAAGGCCCAGTGGCCTTCAGGGAGCAGAGGCCTTCCTATTGCCAGGAGTATGGTGCAGCCTCAAAGCTGGTCACACCCAAGGTCCCTGGAGCGCACCTCCGCCAGCGGAAGGAGTGTCTTCTCGTGTGTTACTTGAACTGGCGGAGAGTGGCCAGTTCCCTGGAGAAGCAGCTTTTCCTGCACTTCTCAGCCTCAGCTGCACTTTAACAGGTGTAAACTGTGCCGGCCTTCCTTCCGCAGTTGGCAGCAAGCCTCTGCCCCTGGCTGCATCCTTGTGAACAGCCCCTTCTCTCCACACCGCCCCCCCCCTTCCCCAGTTCCCAGGGTGCCCCCAGCCTAGGAGTGGTCCCAAGGCCTATAAAGGAATGCATTGGTCAGCAAAACCTCAAACTGCTCCTCCTACATCACATGCAAAAATTATCAGCGATAAAAAGGGGTCTCTTCTAATGTGCACTTCGCTGAGTGATATGTCTTAGTAGACAATGACGCTCCTATTGCCTTATTACGTCCGTTACAAGGCAGCCTGACTCAATTATCACCGAGAAGGAGGTGCTGAGCCAGCTGCTAACTGCAGCCTGGGAGGGGACAGGCTCAATGAGGGAGAGAAATGTCCCTATGAGGGGCTCTTGTCCCCTGGGAAGCTTTTCAAAACCCCAAGGGCCCAGCTATCCATACTCTAATTGAGGTGATTTTAAGCGGGTAGAAAGGCTTGCTGGGTGGTCAGATAATTAGAGGGGAGGCCTTCACCTTCAGTACAAGGAAGAGCCATCCTTGAACGTTAGTTGGTATCTCACAAATGAGGAAACTGTTTCTCCTTTTTATTTTCACTTTTCAGGCAATGAGCTAAATGAGGCTATTCAAAGGTAAGCACATTCAGTAAAACAGGAACAAAAACCAAAGGGAAACGTGAAGTCATCATCACAGATGGTCTTAGCTGCCAAAGTGGCCTTTGAGTAACAGGGCCACTTCCCTGGCCCTGACGCTCTGCCCCCTCCACTCTGCTAGGCAGGCTTTCTCAAATGCAAATCTGAGCTTTTCCCCAAGGAAATACTCCTCCAGTGACTGTTTTTCTTATTTTCTTTTCTTCCTCTGTTTTGTTCTTTTGTGACTCCTGTTTTTAAGACAAAGGCCCAACTCCCCAGCCAGGCACTTAGGTTGCATTAGTTACTCCTCTTCCTTATCAGCAATGGCTGGGCATGTGATGAGATAAAAGACTTCATCTCTCAGTCTCTTTTTCAGCTAAAAGTGGCCTGGTGACTCCACACTGGCCAGAAGGATGTGAGCTAAAGTGCTCTGTGAAACTTTTCTGAATTGCCCCCAAAGGAAGGGGGACAGGAGTTGCTCTTCTGGCTGGAATGAGAATGGTGTGTGTAGCTGGGGCTCCAGCTGCCATCTGGGTCCGTATGCTGACCTTAGAAATGGAAAGCACACCCGGTAGAACTACGAGCTGAGAGTCCAGGTCTCTGATATCCCAGGGGCTAGGCCTGCCTCAGCTGGTCTACCTCCGACTCTCTGAATATGGGAGATATAAATATTCTTATTTAAGCCACTATTATTTTGAGAATTGTTGTGGTAACAGCCTATTCAAAACTAATGTCCTCCCCCATTACTGCCTTGTGCCTCTCCTGTGGCACTTGGGCACAAGCTGAGTGGTGCAGAGGGTTCAAAGGTAATTCTGCCTTTGCGATCCTCATCTCGCTGGAACTCCTCCACATTAGAGCACTTACTCTGGAGAGGCCTGAGGACTGACCCCCCAACAAGGCCACAGCGAGTGGCTTCTTGGTAGGGACACTGTTTTTTTATATCACATTTCTGGCACCTGGTACAGAACCTACTGCTGTCTATAAACACCAAAACTGGTTGTTGTTTTTTCTGAAAGAAGCAGAGAATATCTAAAATAAGTAAAGATCTACTGAACCAATCTAGGCCAGGTCTGTGGCTATCTTCCGAGGGAACGCTAAGAAGACCTCTCTCCCCAGAGCTCAGGGTTTTACATGTATTTATGGACATTTTCCTGGGAAGATGGTCTAGATGTTGTCATTTTCAAATGAGAACTGTGATCCCACAAGAGGTAATATTGCGTTGGAGAAACTGTTTAAAAAATCATTTTGTAAATCTTAAAAATTGCCCAGCCAGTATGACTCAGTGGTTGAACATCGACCTAAGAACCAGGTGGTCACAGTTCAATTCCCATCAGGGCACATGCCCGGGTTGCAGGCTCGATCTGCAGTAGGGGCGTGCAGAAGGGAGCCGATCAATGAGTCTCTCTCATCATTGATGATTCTCTCTCTCTCCCCCTCTGAAATCAATAAAAATATATTTTAAAAAATGCCTTGCTTT